CGCCAAATCAAAATTCGCGAGACTACTCATACAGCACCGATTTGAAAACTGCCCACTTTCTTTTGCTTGCCAGTATAGTTATTTCTTGACGGACTATGGATGGCATCTTAGTACTTTAGATTTTTTAGTTTCTATGATTTGATATAGATCTAGATAGATCTATTTAGACACAGATTCATTAGAAAATGAGCGACTTTAGATTTTTCTTTTTTAATGTTTGAAACAAATTTATATGAAGGAAACCCTATCCCGTTGTATGTAATGATGATGTTCCTCTGTCCAATGTATACACATGTTGTGATGATGTTCTTCCAGCCACTGTTTCCACATGTTGTGATATTGTTCCTGCTCCTACTGCTTCTGTTTCAGAAGAAGAACTTGCTGGCCCTACCCCAACTGCCCTTGTCTCTAGTTGTGAGTGGTCAGTTGATGCCCTAGACTTTTCGACCACAGGTCTGGAATTTTCGGGGATCGAATGTACCTCCGAGGACTTCCTGAATCCTGCAGCAGAGTTTCAGCTACCTTTGGTTTCAACACCAGCTCGGGATCTATGGATAACCAGGACCATGACTATTGTCTGCCTGAGCAGGCATTGAGACCATTGGAAGATGAAACTCTGGTGACACCCCAAGCCCCCCGAAAACTGCCTCAGGACAACATTTTTGCTTTGTCCTTGACAAGCTAATTGATCACGCCATTGCCACTGGATGGATGGCATCAGACATGCATTGGGTCCGCCGTTGCCATTGGCACAAAATCGAACCTATGGAGAACGAGGGGGCATACAGAAAGTACCTTGATTTGTAAAATCAACTCATTCCTGCCCCCTCGTTCGTCAACCTGCCCATACCAGCAAGCTGGAACTTTAAGGTTTCAACACAGAGAAGCGGGCTCAGGCCCCTAAGTATGTCTTACGGGCAAAGTACAAAGAAATTGGAAGAAGAGAAGAAAAAGGAAGATGTGGAAAAGAGGAAGAGAGAAAGGGAGAGAAAAGGGTGGAGAAGGAAGAACAAAGAGGAGAAAAGTTAACGAAGTTGGAGAAGCCGAGAACAGCTTAGGGAAGAAGAAGAAGAAACAACAGGGAAATGAAGTGGGAGTAAGGGAAGGAAGAGGAAAGTACAGGCAAAGATGATGAAGCAAAAGAGAAGAAAAGGAGAGAGTGAGGAGGGGGAAGAGGATGAAAAGGAGGTAGGATTGGTTTACTACGATGACCGCTCCGCAGTTTGTTGTGATACATGTGGAAGAGTAAAATGAAGCATTCATGAATTTGTGTGTGAGTAAAAGATGTTCAAGTGAGTTTGTTGTGATATGTGAGGAAGAGTAAAATGAAGCATTCATGTACCTGGGTGTGAGTAAGATGTTCATATCAGTTTGTGATATGTGTGGAAGAGTAAAATGAAACATTCATATACCTATGTGTGAGTAAGATGTATGTGAGTCTGTTCTGGTGGTTGTTCTTATAAGAGCCATTGCCAAAACGTGGGGCAAAACACATACATCTCACATTAATGTGCATAAAATGTGATGCATTAGTATTTATTCCTCCCAAACTTATACATATGTTAAATATAGGATGTAGAACCTGCATTAGCAGTTTCAGACCCAGTGTCAGCTTTACAATCTTGAGTTTGTAAATTTTTTGCCAAAAATGTTAGTTTTTTTTGTGATTCCTGGACTGTCATTTTGAGCACACCAATGCAAACTTCCAAGAAAGTCCAAAATTTAGTATTTTTGGGTGTTTTTTTTTAACCTGTGCTTTGATTCTATGCTATTTGTGATCGAGAAAGGTTCACTTGCTCAAGAAATCAGTTTATTTGTTTGCAAATAAACGAATAATTCGGATCACTTGTGCGTCAGTGGTGTCGTCATTTTTCAGTAGAATCACCACAGCTGGTTAAATCTTTTTGCTTTTCGTCGTTTATTCAATAGTTCAAAAGCCGCGATGCGCGAAAGGAACATCGGGTTCCTAGAACTACGATTTCGGTCGGCTGTTTAACATTTGCCGTTAATGGCGTCACTTTGCGACGTACCGGAAGTCTGAATTTTAGCCTACTTTTGTTTTGAACGGATCATCAACAGTGCCTGGATATAATTGTTTTCTTGAGTGACTTCCCCTTACCCGCTTCCCCAGAACAACGGAAGCAACGGGGGAAAGAGAAAAACGAAAGTAGTCATTGCCGTCACCCTCTGGTTACGCACAAGAATCTTGCGTTGAATGTGACGTACTGGACTGAAATTGCGTGTTTTTAGGCTACCCTATTGAATATTTTAGTGAAATTGCGGTGTTTACATTGGATTCCTGGAACAAGAGTGTGATGTGTGAACAAACTTCGAGAGATGGATCATTTCTGTGGTTATAGATTTAGCTTTTGTGCTTAGTGATGACGTTTGGGGTGTCGTCATGCAGCCGTACAAGACTGACTGACGTACTAGAAATTACATTGCCCTAAGAGAAAACATTTTTTATGTCATGTGTGCTCTTTTTACTCAAACAAATAGACAAACATGTCTTGTTAATCTGTCTAACTCAAAAGTACACATTTGTTCTTTGTTGGCATGATATGCCTTTTTCCAATACATTGTGTCATCATTGTTATGTACAAGTAATATTTTTCATACTTGCTAATATCAATAAGTTTTCAACATATATTTCACATGACATGCAAGATTCATTTAGAAACAACATACGCCTTTATTGATCTGTGTATCTCATAGTGCAAATTTGTTCTTTGTTGGCATGATTTTACCTTTTCCCAGTATGTTTTGTCATCACTGTTATGTACGAGTACTGTTTGTCATAATTAGCAACGTAATTGTGATTGTCTACTGTCTTTGATATGACCTGATATCTCTTTCAAAGCAAAAGAAACCTCTCCTGTTTTTTTTTTAATTCTTAAAGTGTGCTTTTCTCTCTGGAGGCATGACTTTGTCTTTTCCTGTACATTGTGTCATCATTGTTATGTACAAGTCATGTTTGTCATCACTGTTATGCACAAGTCAGCCCCATTGATTTTGTGCTTTTGCCTCATATTAGTTAAAAAATTGTTTTACACATGTGTTTTTCTGGTGCTGAGGCTTTGATAATTGTATTTGTACAGCCTTTCACTATTATGATGTGTTGTCAATGATAATGTCTAATGTGTATCCTTTCTTGTACATAACAATGATGACATGTTCTGTGCACTGCGTCATTGTTACAATGCTTGTCATTCATATTTAGGCTAAAACAGCACCTGGACATGGATGGCTGGTGCCTCTATAAATAAATCAATCATTGATGGTCTGGTCATTATATTACCATTATGAATGGAGTTCATAGAGTACAAAGTGTTTGTTTACTAAATAAATGGAATTTAAAGTCTATAATTTGCCTTGCTGCTTATCTGTTTTTGTAATCATTGTTACATACAAGAAATACAGTTGTTGCCAAACCAATAGACCCATTATATCTCCAAAACCCTACATCTCCTTGCTCTGATAATCTAGGAAGCTCTAAATGTCAATCTGAGACAGACAGAAAAGGGAGTAAAATTGGTAAGAAAAAAATTTTGGAACCACTGAGTCTCAAGAGTCATATAGAATCTAGTATGTCAATAAACATTAGTTCTGTCTTAGGCCGACTGTACAAAAGGCTTCTTTCCTCTTTTCAAACGCCTAGTTGTGCTTCAATTTGGATGTGCTGGTATGGGGTGTAGTGGGTGACGGTATGGGGTACATGCCATGACAGAAACCCCGACACGTGACGGTATGGGGTACATGTCATGGCATGCGTCAAGTCTCGGTTAGGGGTCTTCTTTATAAACACTATCTGACTAAAAACTTCACCCCACACCTACAGGAAAGGCTGGCCTCTCAACGAAGCGAAATTTTGGGTCGATGTTTTGGAAAGAGCCAAAGTTATGGTAATACAAAAGTTCACTTCCGGAAATAGTCATCACAAAACACTAAGTAAACTGAGGTGACGGTATGCCGTGCAGGGGCTCTAGATCTAGGTACACTGACACCATTTATTACATCCAAATTGTTTCAGCTTCTTCAACTTCAACTGCCTAAAAAATTAGGCCCAATTAGAGCCTAGGCCTAAAGGCTAACATGTCCTGAATAGGGGCCTACTGAATGAGTTAAACATGAATGAGTGAATCACTGAATGCAATGCAAGTCTTGATCTTCTTCTCCTGCCCCTAAGCCTTGTTTACATTTGTTTATATGTACAGGAAGTGGCTATTCTCATCCGGGGTGAGAATAGAAAAACGATCTACCTCTCACCCCGGGTGAGAATTGCCAGCGTAGG